CCCCATGCGTTTGCAGCTCAGATGTATTGAATACTGGATCACACACTTGAGCGACGCTCTTTCGTCCGTCCCAGGATCAATGAGCCCTCTTAAAAGGATTTTTGTGCCCATCGTCTATGCGGGAGCAATGTCTCCAGCTTCTTCATCCACAGGATCGGTCGTGCTATTCTACCTTGTCTCTTCAGCTGCTGCTTTCCATCTCTCCGTTCACTTGGAGAATGTTAACCAAAAATCCGAACTTCTGACCTTGGCACTGTCCCACCAGAACCAAGGCATTCGCCATCTTCAGCATCACTTAGCCGTTGATGACCCGGCCCAACGGGAGAGTGTGCTAGCATCCCTTTTGCTATGTATGACATACGAGCCAGTTACAGTGGAGAGAAACTTCTGGCTTACCCATTTGCGTGGAGCTTCTCAATGGCTCCGCAAAGTGAATGTGACCTCGTGGGCTCATGACGAATCTACAATCACCATGTATCAGATGCTGGCTAGTACCGCAACGATGCTGCGATCACAAATATTATCAGAAGAGGTCGCTCAAGACGGCAATTTTCACTTTGAGATGGGGGCGATGCTAGAGCCCTACCATCTTCATTACATTTTTGGGCTTCCCAAAAAATCTCTAGAGGTGATGAGCGACATGATTGCGATGGCTGTGAGACTCCATCAGTATGGTGAGGAGCCACTGCTGGACTTGGAGCGTTTTGAGATGGAACTGTATCTTTCCATACCGCCCGATTGTCATATTCCGGCAGCAACACGAGGACAAGAAGATCTGGTTCATCACTACGCCCAAATCTTTTACTTTGGCTCCATCATCTACTGCAAACGAAGGTTGCGCGGCTTGCCCCTCGCCGATGTGCAGCTCCTCGTTGAGCAAGCTGTTGATCACATTGAAGCTTTGGCCAACTACAAATCTCGCCCATATTCCCCAATTCTGTGGCCCGTCGCAATGGCGTTTTTTGAAGTTCAGGACATTCTGCTTCGAAAAAGGGTATTGGCATGGCTCGACTTCATTATCAAACAATCCACACTCTCAATATGGCAAAAGGTGAAGCCGCTGATATGTTCTCTGTGGGAAGAGCGAGCTATTTCCGGTAAGGAAGAGATACATTGGGAAGAATTTCTTCGTGAACCGTCAACTCCAAGCATCATGATTGTGTAGACATTTCTACGCGCAACCCGCGTAGGTACGGCAGTCGGGAAGATCATCTCCTCCCCCAGAGTAAAACAATATTATAACCCCAAGCAAGGCAACGGTTACATTTGAATGAAATGAATTACACCATGCGCAGAAAATAGTTTACGACTAAATTGATGCATAGAAGGTTTGGTTAAAAAAAGAAAAAAGTTTTAGCCTGTAGACGGCTTAACACGGGCGTCAAGCTAGGATAAGCGAAGCACAGGGAAATCACATTCGTGCTCGGGATGATTATCCCGAATTGGCAAAATTATTGGTTTTGCGTGATACATTACTCGTTCAATCGAACAAATGTGATCTCTGAGACATCTTAAAGAACCTACAGATGCCTTCTCAATCACTCTGGCTCTAAACATTTGGGTTTTTTTAATCACCTTACGTTTTGAAGATGAAATTCGCTCACATATTACCGGTTCTTAGACTGGTAGGCTCGGCTACCGCGTGCAATCATCACCATGATGGTGGGGAATGGACAAAGGAGGAACTTGATCAATTGGAAGCCAAATGGGGCTTTGAGGTTTGTTCATTAATCCTCGACTTGTGAGGCACGATTCCTGGATCCTAACTGCAGCAGTGGGCGTTCGGGGGCATTGGGACCTTTGCTCATCTAAACTACGTTAAATGTCTTACTGAACCTACTGAGACATTCGACATAGCAATCCTTGGTGCACCATTCGACACGGCCGTAACATATCGGCCCGGGGCACGCTTTGGTCCACGGGCCATCCGACATGCGTCAGGTCGCCAGCATTCTCTGCGAGGATTCAACCCTCGCGCCAATATGAACCCATACCAAAATTGGGCCAAAATCATTGACTGCGGTGACATTCCAATCACTCCTATTGATAACAACATCGCTCAAGAGCAGATGACTCAGGCTTTGAAAGAACTTGGCAAGAGGAAAACTGTTTCTCCCCTAGCCGCAAAGCCAAAGATCATTACCTTAGGTGGGGATCATAGCCTTACACTTCCCGCTCTACGAGCGCTAAATGAGATCTACGGGAAGACGATCCAGGTGCTACATTTCGATGGTGGGTCGATTCCAAGCGTCATGTCCCCGTCTGTTCTTGCTAATACATTGAACCAGCTCATCTTGATACATGGAACCCGAACGCGTATCCCTCGTACTGGGGAGCAACACCTTTCAACCACGGCTCCATGTTCTGGCTAGCAAATCAGGAAGGACTTGTCTCAAATTCATCTTCCGAACCATCCGTTCATGCCGGCCTGCGCACTCGTCTTACCGGTCTGGTCGATTTCGAGGATGATACTGCTCAAAATTGGAAATGCTTCTCCTCTGACGACGTTGACACCCTCGGAACCCAGGGCATTATTGACGGCATAATGAAAATACTCGGGACCAAGAATCCCGTCTACCTATCTGTGGATATTGACGTGCTCGACCCTGCCTTTGCACCTGGTACCGGCACGCCTGAGCCAGGCGGCTGGACAACCCGAGAATTCATCAAGATCCTGAGAGGTATCGAAGGATTGAACCTCGTCGGCGCCGATGTCGTTGAGGTTGCACCTGCCTATCAGGGTAACGGAGAAGAGACGGCCTTTGCGGCTGCACAAGTTGTTTATGAGATGATAACTTCGATGGTGAAACGGACTATGGATGATATGGGAAAGGAGTCCAAGAGCACGAAGGATGAGCTGTGATTGCCCAAAATGTCAGACAAAAGTGGCTTCAAATGAATGATGTGTATCATTGTTATCATCATTTCTACTAAATCCCAGGGATTTCCGAAGTTGGGCATAATCACTACTTGATGTTGAGCTTGATAAGTAGACAAATACCAACTTGTGGCAAAGAGTGCCAAAAAAAAAAAAAAAACCGAATATCGCCTCCATAGCTCATGGTTCAGCCCCTTATGAAACTAGGTAGGTTGGCCTCTCAAAGACATGCCATTTTCCCCCAATCATGGGTGGTGAATATAGCGAATAGGGTACAAAGTTTCCCCTGGCCGTTTCTGGAACATGTAAATCATACCTATGTGAGGTGTCATTGACATCAGTGAAGAAAGCCACTAGAGCCCACTACTATTCTATCCACTGCAAGTCAGAACTTAGCCGGATGTGTTAGGTAAAAAAAAAACTAAAAGAATACTGGTACTCCCAAATCAAGGCCTGCCATTACGGGTTAGGCTATGTTGAAGAGTTCGTCAGGTAGGGCGCAGTTGACATGGAGTCATCGGCTAAACCGAGAAGAAAGGAGGTGGGGAGAATGGATAATTCATCGTAGGTCCTCACTGCATTTAGCTGCGCCCCTTTTTCCATCTTGGGAAAATGGGGTGTTACTAGTCAGGTTCTAAGGATGAACTGTATAAAAAACAGCTGCCTTGAAGCGTGCCCTTCCAGGTGGAGCCCTCCAAACAACTCGTTTTCCAGATTTCTGATTCGGAGAGAACTTCCAAAGAGAGTAATTTGCGAATAATTCCAGTTTTGTAATCTCAACACATTCTGGGGCATCATGGCTCCGTTCAATCAGCAGGAAGTGGCCTCCGAGAACGAGGAGACAGCTACTCCCGCCTCCTCTCTTTCTACCCGAAAATCTTGGCGAGGTGCCTGTCGACCTAGATTTGGACATACTTCTCGCTGATACGGATGCCCATGGCTTCAGAGACTGGGATTCGTACACCTTCATCGAATCTCCACATCATGGCGCTTTAGAAGCCGAGGCATCATATGACGACTTTTTACGGCTGCGATTGAGCATTACTTCCGACTGCCAAATCATTTACGAACCATTTTTTTTTCTTGCTGAGAACGAGTTTTCCCTCTCGGTCCCTTCCCATATACGCGCTACATGCCTCCGTCACTAGAGAATACCCCGAAAATAGCAACCCGGGGCGTCAATCCAGAGACTGTTATCATTCTTTCAGGGGACTCTAAGGCCAATCCAATTCTAAAAACGCTCCCGGCATGACACCTCGGGACCGCCCAATCTTTCGTCCTAGGTCCCAGTGGCCAGATCCGACTCGCTTCAACAGCAACCGCTCAGCGTCCATGTTTTTCCAAAATACCGAATCTCAGACCCTTTACAGACTCTAGGATGGGAAGTACGTCAGCTCTGGTGAAAAATTCTCCTAATTACACATCGACGCCCAATGTCGGCACCGGCTTTTGCCTAGAGTCCCTCCAAATATTGAAGAATGGCCGGGGCTCAGTAATTGTCATTCACATTCGGGTGAGAAGGAAATAGAAATGCTGCAGCGCCGAATCGGCCTGATCAAGATGCAGATATATAACTGGATCGATACTTCTCGCCATAGAGGCAAGCTACAACGCAAAAAGCATATGTTCACCTATAGTACAATAAACACCTGGATAGAGGCTGTCGATTTCCTCGTCGACCTGTCACTGAAATCTCTACCATTGGAACGGTAACAACAATCAAAGGCCCCGGCCTCGTTGTAAAAAGGAAAAGTCCGCGCCCTCCTCCACGAGTCCACAAACCCTACATCAACTAACCAAGGCAGCTTCTAGGATGTCAAGTTGAGCCTAGTACGTCAAGAAAGGATGATCGGTATGTATTACTCGAACGGGTAAGCATGCCCACCGGATTTGGGTTGCAGTCAATGGATACTTAACGATCAGTTATCGTATTGGTAATGCGGCATGCGTATCCAAGTAACTACGACGCATTCTTGCCAGAGATATATAAAATGCTCTGAAGAACTATTTGCTAACCTTGAGATATCCAGGCTCTTCACATTCATCACCAATCTGATCTCGATATTTTTGCACATTCATCATGTCGCTCCAAGCCGAGCTCCAAGCCCCAAATGGGCTAAAAATCACGTTGCCAACTGGTTTATTCATCAATAACGAATTCGTCGCCTCAAGCTCCGGCCAAAAGATTACCAGCATTAGTCCCATGTATGTACCCCTTCTTGTACTCAATAGTGCATGCCCCTTGAAACTCACAGTTGCCGCAGCGATGAGAAGGAGATTGCCTCCGTGGAGGCAGCCTCCAAAGAAGATGTTGACACTGCTGTCAAGGCCGCTCGCGAAGCATTCAAATGTGATGAATGGTCCAGAATCTCTGCCACCGACCGCGGAGCTCTCATGTTCAAGTTTGCCGAGTTGATTGAAGAAAATAAAGTAACTCTAGCAACTCTGGAAACATGGGATAACGGAAAACCATATAACGTCTCTCTTGAAGAAGATCTCAGTGAAGTTATTGGGACCCTCAAGTACTACGCTGGTTGGGCCGACAAGATCTACGGCCAGACTATTTCTACTACCCCAGAGAAATTCGCTTATACTATCAAGCAACCTATTGGCGTCTGTGGTCAAATCATTCCTTGGAATTATCCATTGGCTATGGCTGCTTGGAAGCTCGGTCCTGCACTTGCTTGTGGTAATACTGTTGTTTTGAAGGCTGCAGAGCAGACCCCTCTTTCTATTCTATACCTAGCGACACTTATCCCGAAAGCTGGCTTTCCCCCAGGTGTGATTAATATCATCAACGGATATGGGCGAGAGGCTGGCGCTGCATTGGTTTCTCATCCTGATGTGGATAAGGTCGCCTTCACTGGGTCAACAGAAACAGGCAGGGCAGTGATGAAAGCAGCTAGCGCAAGCTTGAAAAATATTACGCTGGAGACTGGCGGAAAGTCACCGCTCTTGGTGTTTAAGGATGCTGATCTAGATCAGGCTGTCAAATGGGGCCATATTGGCATCATGAGCAATCAGGGCCAGATCTGTACAGCAACATCGCGGATCTTGGTGCAGAAAGATATCTATGATGAGTATATTTCACGCTTCCAGCAGATGATTTCCAAGCATAAAGTTGGTAACCCCTTCGATGACGATACTTTCCAAGGACCTCAAATTACACAGGCACAATATGAGAGGGTCATTGGGTATGTCTCAGCGGGAAAGAGTGATGGAGCCAAACTGATCACTGGAGGAAGGGCATATAAGGACATCGGCGAAGGCAAGGGCTTCTTTATTGAGCCTACCGTCTTCAGCGATGTGACAGAAGATATGAGAATATTCCAGGAGGAGGTATTTGGTCCATTCGTTTCTATTACTCCATTCACCACAGAGACCGAAGCTGTCCGCCTTGCAAATAGTACTGTTTATGGACTGGGATCTGCTGTCTTTACAAGGGATCTTGAACGCGCTCATCGCGTGGCTGGGATGCTTGAATCCGGTATGGTCTGGGTTAACAGCTCGAATGATGCTGACTTTCGAGTTCCGTTTGGTGGTGTGAAACAGAGTGGAATAGGGAGGGAGCTTGGGGAAGCAGGCCTTGCGACATATTCGCAGACTAAAGCTATCCATGTGAACATGGGTCTTACCCTATAGTTGAACTATTGAATCCAAACTACACTTTTTACAATGTGGGTATATGCGGAATCTATTGCTCCTGTTCTGAGTGTCAGTCTTCGTTCATTTATGGCTAAGTCTATAATTCATTTTCTTCTTATGGTTCAAACGGCTCAGAAAAGCGAAATATGATTAAAAGTAACACGAGGGACCTTCGAAGTTATACTGATGATAGCTTCACGTAGGTTACTTGTTGATTACAAGCTAACGGGCCCGCAATAGAAATCCACGCAACAGTAGGAAAACAAGACGAGAGTGACTAAGTCTGTTCTGCCGAGAATACCACCCATAAAAGGCTTTAACCGGAGATCATGAAAATTGCCTACCGCTTCTGGAGACAGAGAAGGAATGTCGGGATACATGTCCGTAAAGGGCATAGCTTACCGCGTGCGAGACTTCTTCTCAGCGATTCGGCTGCAAGAAGACCTTTTGTACCGAAAGGCACCCCTCGTCAAGAATTTTTCTTATGGGGCTTAACTTCCGTTTTAGGTTAGTTTTCTATGACTGCACCGTCTCCGTAAGGTATTGCACCGTCTCCGCAAGGGTATCCACCGAACTGACCGTGTTGCGGGGCACGCCCAACTTGCGCCCTTGGATGTCAATTTCTGGGCCTTATTAGTCAAAGCCAAGCGAACTTGCAGCGTAGGGCGCCGACTGGAAGTCTGCAAGATGGAGTCTGCTGCCTGCGCATCCCGCAGATTTCGGCCGACGCAGCCTTTGATCTCTCTCAAACCTCCGAACGACATATTCTAGAAGATCAAGGAAATCTTCGCTTTAGTCTGTATCGATCAAGATGGCCCAAGATGTCGGTTCTCACTCCCCGTGAAGAGAGCCTCTTACTGACTGTATCTAGCTTGTTAGAGTCGCCAGCCTGATTGAAGGCGTTGAGATGCACGTACGCTCAAGTAACGACAACGGTCCCGTCAGGCGCAACGTCGACAATCTTGGCCTGGACCAGTCCCTCATGGACCTCGAAAACGGCGTCGTAGGCTGGGAGGGCGAGGACGACCCCAAGTATCCCCCAAACTTTACTCCTACTCGCAAGTGGCTCATCACCGCCCTCCTCTCTACTCTGGCCTTCATGACGCCGTTTGCGTCGTCCATCATAGCACCCGCCATCGGGTACATTGCCGACGACTTTGGCGTCCCTGATATTACAAAGAGCGCCATGCCCGTGAGCATCTTTCTCCTTGGGTACGCCGTCGGGCCTCTCTTTCTATCACCCCTGTCGGAGATCTACGGCCGTAGAATTGTCATGATGGCCTCTAATCTCGTCTTTTGCCTCTTCCTTGTTGCCTGCGCGCTGTCCCCCTCGATTGACCTCCTCATATTCTTCCGCTTCATGTGTGGAGTTGGAGGATCTGCCTCACAGACCGTCGGAGGAGCCGTCATCGCCGATTTATTCGCCGTTGCTGAGCGTGGAAACGCTATGACTATATGGATCCTAGGTCCGATCCTAGGACCCTCGTTGGCGCCGCTAATCGGCGGTTTCGTGGCTGAGTCGATCGGTTGGCGATGGGCTAATTGGATTACACTCATTCCTGCTTCCGTGCTTCTGGTCGCCATGGTGTTTGTGTATCCCGAAACTCACCACGAGGTACTTATTCAGCAGAAGACGAGGAGATTGGCCAAGGCCCTCGATCGGCCGGACCTGTGTAGCTGTTACGCAGATGCGGCAGAAAAGGCTGCCAGCAGCACCGACATCATCCTGTCTGGGCTTGTTCGACCGCTCAAGTTGCTGTTCAGCTCGACAATCATCTTTGGAGTGTCCCTATATGTGGCTTTTGGCTACGGATGCCTCTACCTGCTGTTCAATACAATCCCTATTGTTTTCCGCGGCAGTTACAATTGGTCAGCAGGCATCTCGGGCATCGTCTACCTGGCACTTCTTTTCGGATACCTCATAGGCCTTTTAGCCTTCTCCCTCCTTTCGGATAAGACGGTCCATCATATGACTACTGCAAACGGGGGCGTTTACGAGGCCGAGATGCGGCTTCCTTTCTGCATTTACTTTGCCGCTCTTCTTCCAATCTCGTTCTTCTGGTACGGCTGGAGTAGCGACCAAGCTGTCCACTGGGCTGTGCCAATTCTAGGACTGGCTCTCTTTGGGATAGGCTTCGAGGGCATCTGGCTACCTACTCAGCTCTACATTGTTGATGGGTACTCTCGCTATGCCGCTAGTGCCCTTGCTGCCTTTTCTGTGATGAGGAGTATACTTGCCGCATTCCTCCCTCTGGCTGGGCCGGCAATGTATGAGAGGCTGGGTGTTGGCTGGGGCAACTCCGTCTTGGGTTTCATCTCTTTAGCCATGGTTCCTATCCCGGCGCTGATATACAAATTTGGAGGGAGGATGAGAAAGAATGAGAAGCTCAGGCTTTGAGTGACTGCACATGCGGATTGGCCTTCTATGCTTAAGCACAGGATTGGATATACTTTAAAATGGCCAAAGGTCCCCAGTCGATATCGAGGAGACGACATCCTGCTCGTAGATAGCATAGGGGGTCGACTCCTCCGCTGATGAGAGTGCTTCCCCGGATACGAACAGGAAGAAATCCCCCGCCTTCATGCCTTTCCGAACGAAGGGGAGAAAGGTTCTTCCTTCCGCGCTCTCCTTCGTAAGCTCGGGCCACAGAACGATCCGTGCTCAGGGCCTGCACCACAGACCCTCGCGCCTCCTCATTCACCAGGATCCCTGCGCCACTGTTACGCCACAAATGTTCTACGCAGCCGCTTTTATGCGCCTCAACCTCCAAAAGAAAGCCACAAACCCAGAAAAGTGATGGGCCGTGTCAGAACTGTAAATAGTTTAGCGTCATGGCCCTATAAGGCTTGGTCCTCCCGGGAGTAATAAATTCCATTCATTCATTCATTCAACGCTGAGTTCATCCGCTACAACTACAACCAAACAGCACAAGCGCTTTGAAGAGCCCGACATCGAAGAGCCATAATGAGCCCAATCACTTTACTGGTGCCCCCATGTAGCATGAACCTTGCGGCTATATCTACTGCTCTCCTGCTTCTATACGCGTCTCCTTTTCGTCGGGGTCACCGCTGCCAAAGCTGCTCCTAGTGTTGCTCAGTTCTACGCCGCAACTATTACGCTGCACTGAGTGGAATGCTTACCTGCTACAACTATTGCCCCTGTTTGGCGGTCCGCTGTGAGACCTGCCATTTCATTATTCAGTTGCGCCGCTTTCTCTCATTTGTTCTGAAGAACACTCACTCGTTGATTCCTGTTCGGGCTGCATGGCGATTGTGGAAGATTTGTCACCTATTGTCTTCTCTTTGCCTAACCCCCAATCATTTGCCCCCATAACAAAGGAAGGGCCCGTAGTAGTGCGTTTAGCTGGAGAAGTACCCGGGCTGCTGCTGAAAGGGTTTCGCCTTTTTCCTACCTCGGACTTCGCTGTCTGCAGAGAGGGCTAGAAAGACCCGTCGATGGTGTCAGAGCGTAGGAATACCGACGGCCTGGGCAGTGGCAGCCATTAATGTGGCATTATCTAGCTGAAAACTATCTGTTTATTAGCCGTGTTGGGACCTTGCGCTAGCGAATACTAACCCACAATGAATCGATGACTTGGTGCTGGAGTGCCTACAAATCCTGAAGTTTCGCATGGAATGCGCAAACCAATAAGGCTCTCCGTAGCCTTAAGGGTTGGTGGACATATCTTGTCAATTGAAACCCAGCACGACAGCGTGGCTGCCTATGTCCTTGCTGGCCAACATTTGCCTCAAAAGGCGGTGGCTTCAGGGAACAGACAGAGACAAAAAGAGAGATGAAGGTTGAAATTCTTAGATCACATAATCAAGGAAATCTCATAGCGAATCTTTTTTTTTTTTTTTTTTTTTTTTTAGCTATTCTATAGATCTTATATTATACACAGAGCCTTAACCGTGCCTGTTCATAGTGACTTTATTAGCCCTTCACACAAGCCTCGAGCGTTTGAGCCGCTTTGAGGAGGATCTGATGAGGCCGGAGTGTGCCTTCAAACTTATTATGGTTTCGTAGAACGGCGATCATATCCTTGTACATTGTACTCCTTCAGTCAGCGAGTTGTGGGTTGGCGGAGATAGTTCATTCCCAGTCGACTACTTTCGATTGTATGTTCTTAATGTACTCGCCCCCACGATCTTTCATCTCCACTTTGATGTCTTTGAGGTCGAGTAAGCGCTCCCTCAAACCGGTGTCAAGAAATGCCGTTGCAAAATCCTTGAGGTAGTTGAGAAACTCGTCTAAGGTGCATTTGCCACTGGAGTCGGCAGAGCCCTTGCATTTCTTGGCAATGTAGCCCTTTCCTGCACCCCAAGTGTCGGCGTCAAAGTCGTAAACAACATAGGCGTACAGAAGTTGTGCTGCCTCAACTTCCTCAATCGCCAAGCAAGACTGAACCAAGGAAACAAGCCGAGGAGGACCTCTTAAATGGTTTTTGGTTCAGTTACCAAAGGACATGATTGCGTGCCCGCCCCAGTTCTCTTGCCGGTGCCAAGGGTTTCGTGGAAGCATGGACTCGGAGAGGCAAGAAAACACTCGTCCTCTAATGCCAAGGAAACAAAGATACCTTAGTCCCATTATCCTTGCAACCAAAAGTTACATCCGCATTTTGAGTGCAGAGGGGTGTTGAAACTAAAGTCCCAAGTTCCTGACCCCTGTTGACAGGAGCCCACGACGAACGAGTTAATGGTTTCTCTAGAAGAAAGTAATGTGGCCGACAGCAACTTTGACCAGAATGGATCAACAAAATCGATCAGCAGCCCTGAGACCGGAGAATTTGTGGCTAAGAACAGGGTAGAGAAGATTACCTTGAAGACGAAGAATTACGCCCAATATCTCCATTAATGGAAGTGATGCACCAAGCAAATCCGTATCAACCCGTATATAAGAACAAACCTGCGTGAACTAAAGTCAGGAAGTAGAACGTATCTGCCAGCCGCGCGGCCTTGAGGCTGCAAATAACACTGTTCTCAAATGCTTCTCGGATTTAGGAAAACGGTGACCATAGCTACAAGAAATTTTACGTTACCTCGATTTAGGCTCCTATCTCTGCATGTTACAGTACTTAATCCAGAGAGAAGCAAATGTGTGGGATGGCCTGCCGATTATTAGTAGGAATTAATGAGCAGTGGTTTTGGCTCCTTTTGCCAATGCAAATTTATATTTGAGGTACAAGTCAGGAATGGAGCCCGACGAGACAGAGTTACTTTGAAGCACTGTGTTTTATTTCTTTCCGCACTCCGGCTAGCCACATTTTTGTCCCAAAAATGGCCCTCTTTAAATTCACTGTAGAATAAAAAAGCGGACACTCCTTTCGGGCAGCCCGGTAGTCCTAGTTTCTACGCAGTTGACCGGCACGAATTGGCACATTGCACAGAGTAGAATCTATGCGATAGCCGAAAAGATTGTCCACCTCACTAGGAAATGGCACCACGAACGATAGAAGAGTAGGACACCAAGGAACTTGATAAGTCTAAGCTCAATAAAATATAATACAATACCATGATGTAGGCAATTAAATTGCAAAGGTATATATTTAAGGAGTCGTGTTCTCGTGCCCCAGCCTCTTCTGTTCAAGTCTCAGGATCCAGTTGCACCGCTTTTGGTCACCGTAATGTTTTGTATCCTTGACCCATTCTTTATACTGTTTTCTGATCCGGCGCAACTCCCAAAAAGAGCAGAAATGGCCCTGCGAAGTAGTGATCCATGTTGCGAGGCACACAGCCAATCATAATTCCTCCAAAACATATGTATGATTCGTACTCCCACAAGAATGGCGTCTAAAAGAGCATCAACCTTGTAAGGCTCTAAGAGACCAACCCAGCAAATCTCATTCCCCTTCCGGTCCTAACGCCTCACTAAATAGTGAATGGGGAAGGTCGGATGACAAATCAAGAAAATAACCTTCAAGATTTCTTGCTAAGGCTGACCATCAAAGCATGCGCTTGATCACGGCATTGGAAACCTCGCTCTTGGCAGTCACTACATAAAACGAAACCATAACACTCTAGGCAGGAATAAAAGCCGGAGCTGCTCGAGACGTTTAACGTACAAACATCACACCAGGCAGCTGCGGTATCAAAAGCCGTGACTGCTTTATCAGCCTGGGAGAAAGTTTCACCCAGCTCCATAGGGTGTGACAACATCTTGATCATCTGCGGTTTACCGGCGTGAGACGCCCACCACAGTAGGCTGCGCCCAACATGAAGTTGATCCTGAGCATTAACACCAGCAGCGATGAGAAGTTCCACGACTTTACAGTGCCCATTAGCTACGGCAGTCGATAATGCCGTGGAGCCGTTATAGTTCTTGGTATCAGGATCAAAACGTTTTAGTGATAGCAGATATTGCACCACGTCCACTTGTCCACTTCGAGAAGGTAGAAACAAGGCTGTGCGGCCAAGGGTATCCCCCTCAGGTTTGTTAAAGTGCGGAGCCCTAAGCAGAAGTTCAACAACATCAACATGTCCCCTATTTGATGCCACATGGAATGGTGTCCAGCCATTGCTGTTGCGAGTCACGAAGTCAGCACCCTTATCCGCAGCATCTTGACAACCTCTGTATGTCCATTATATGATGCCACATGCAGTGGTGTCCAACCATTGTTATTTTGAGTCGTGAAATCAGCACCTTTCTCAAGAAGCAGTTTGACAATTTCTGCATGTCCATTACATGATGCTTCATTCAGTGGAGTCCAACCATTGTTGTCTTGAGTTATGAAGTCAGCACCCTTATCCAGCAGCATCTTGACAACTTCTGCATGTCCATTATTTGATGCTCCATTCAGTGGAGTCCAACCATTGGAATGTACCTCATCATTTAGCAAAGGTATCGAGCTTTGGCGCTAACACTGGAGGCAGCCACGGTTCTCCACTCAGTACCTAATATACTTGGAGAAATTTATTTGCTGGCCATTGATGGACATTTCTCATACTGGAAAATAGTGGAGAATGTACATCAAGGTATTTTTAAATACTCTCTCTTCATAATAATAAACATAAAGACAACGAAGCGGAAGCTATTATGCTCCAAACTGGACGTAGGTACACTAAGGTACGGTAGGTATCACCTAGCACTGAAATTTGCACTTGGCGGTTGCGCTAAATACGAACGCAAGAGTTCGCAAATGCAAGCGAACCCCAGCTCTTTGTTGGCTGCAGGCAACAACTACTAATGAGCAATCTCCTAGATACGTCATCTTGATGCTTACGTAGCCTGGAGTCGTGCAATGAGTGTAGGTCAGGTTTGAGTCCGCGTGTTGCGTATTACAGATTGCTCACTAATTCTTTTCTGCTGCTGCATCACTAGAGATTCAAGCATTGTCACATGTTCAACAACATATGGTGAGCTGAGGAATTATTGCTATGTAGTCTCAGCTAATCTCATCCCCTGAGCTTGTCTGGTCAGTAGTTGAGTTGGAAGTAGATGATGAGGGTATGGCATTCTGGGGATGCTGGAAGCTTGCTGGAGATCTCCTCACAGCCAGTGGGTAGGCTTGTTCCTATGTACAACAAAGTTAGCTCACCAAGTGCTAAGTAGGCCCAGATTGAGATCGCTCACAATTTCTACGAGAGGAGGGGGAAATATTGAGCTACTAGAAGGGTTGTAGTCCCAATGTCGGTTGTTTCGTCGCACCACAATATAGACATCAGCATTAAAGGGACTGCTTATTTTACCACCTCTTTGCATAAGACCTTTAATAGCCTTTACGACATTCTCGTTCGTTCTGTCACGTTACCGGGGTGAGATTGGGAGCTCAGCCATTGTGTAAACTGTGCAAGTAACGATTTAAAAAGTGAATGAAGGCGGTGTTTTGGCCTGTATTTAACTTCAGCAAAAATGATACAAGCATTAGTAATGCGAACTGAAGAGTTCAGAAATTGCCCAGGAGTCCAGGAAATGGTGCCACCCTTGTTCTTGGAGTTCAACCAACAAACTCAACAGGCGCAACAAACTATCTCTCATGCTGGCTAGGGCCAGGGCCTTCTGAAGGGGAGTGAAGCTTGCACGCTCAGATGAACTTCATATAGGCTCCACCTAACTTGTCTGCTCCTCTTTTGGCTTCTAAATTTGTCGGGTGATCCTCACCACCAGTGGCACAAAATTCTCTGTTTCTGGCTTATTCCCCCACTTGCGACTCCTTGATTCGTTCTAGCCAGCAGCTGCCAGCAACATACATAGCTCCCGTGTGCGCACCTTGAGGTGATTTGATGGAGAGGCACATATTTATGATGTCATGTTTTGAAAATATATACACACATACATGCCACTACGTACCCCATTACCGAATAAATGTGGGACCTTACCCTCTTAGCAGCTGTCCAAAAAATAGTACGTGTTTGGAGAGGACATACTGCGGGTCCGACACATCCCCATTTGCTTTTAGACAGCTCCATTCCCACCAGCAGGCTCAGAGTAAAACCCATCTCCTAGACTCTTTATCTCGCCATGGAGCTTGCGGAGCTAGAGGCAAAGGCTGATGATCTCTTCCAAAACATCAAATTATCATTTGGAAAAGATGCTCTTCTCAGCTTTATAAATCATTTATCTCAGAGGCACCTTGGGTTTGAATACGTTTGCGATGCTAATCAAGCGGATGTGGTTCCTGATTACTCTGAAATGGTACCTTGGGGTGATACGCCAACGGATGTTGAGATGTTCTACCAAGATTGCAGCACCAACAGAGATGTGCAATCCCTCGCATCTGTGGCTGGGCAAGCGAGACAAGCCGAAATCTGTAGTACTAATCATTTGCACAGTGATGCACTGACTGACGCAGATAACTTCAGCGCTAGAAATGACGTCTGTAACGAATGCAGTAACTTGGCTGTCTTTTCCCCTGCTAAGAAACGCATCCGTACGAGGGATGACTCGGTGGCGCATGAACTTATCGATAAGAGGGCTAACAGCAACCGCGCTCAAAGAATTACTGCACATACATCAGACCCCTGTAAGCCAGTCAAACAGCTTCAGCACCTCTATCAAGACACGATCGTTAGTTTCCTTAAATTGCACTGGGACCATCTAACTATTAATGGCCTTTTCGGTGCCACTCTAAGGGAGACTGTTGCCTTCCCAAATAGCACTACACATCTACCCCATGAGCAGCAACGAGGTTATCACGACATCTTGCGGGCATTAGGCAAAAGTGATAGCCTGCATGCTCTACGTCGAGTTGTGGCCGAAATTAGATCATTACAATGTTACACCAAGTTTCTAGAAGAAGTTCAATTTCGTTGTGGCCGGAAACGCGGCGAAAGCGCAAAGAATCTTGCTCACAAGGAATACATTTGTCAAGTGTTCCCCGACGCCACAACTGAGAGTCTGAAAATGCACCATGCGAACTTTAAAAGCGATCTGCAGTCTGCTAGACGGTGGGTATTGATGATTGAAGGGCATAAAGGAAAGGGCGGAGCTGGTCTGGGAATAATCTTAGCAGCCTCCAAGAGCTTGATCTCATTTATGTAAGCAAACTCAACAAAGCAAATATTCAGGCCCTATGCTGATTTTGTAGCAATAACAAATTGCAAGTAACTCATAAGGCGCTGCTCGAGCAACTTCAAGGGTTCACAAATAATGCACCTGCGATGGAGATTTGCCAAATACTTAACCCAGTTGCACAAGTATTATTAGAGCACCACAGACTGCCGGAGGAGCTAGACTGGAAACTAATCCAACAAAATTTAGAACATAGCATTAGAGATATGACTTAATATTTACAGCTTGGAGCATAACTACAGTAGCTTCCGCTCTATTGTCTTTATGTCTATAATTAAGAAGAGGGAGTGCTTAAAACTACCTTAGTGTACATTGCCCACTATTTTGCAGTGTGGAGAAATATCCATTAATGGCCAATACATAAGTTTTTCGAAGTACACTAAGTACTGAGCTGAGAATAATGCTGTCTACAGTGATAGCGCGAAGTCTCGATACCTTGGTATGCGATAAGGTAGGTACATCACAACCGATAAGGAACAGGTCAGGTGGCCAGGCCAGCTAATTGATTATATAATCTCCCGAGCAGCCATTCAAGAAGACGGACTCAGAAACTGTTGACTGGCGACCAAAAACATTAACCAGAATACCAGGGCGCATAGGTTGCACAGCCAAATAAAACCGTTAGCTAGGGTTACAGGTTGCCAGCAACTAAGCCCGCCCCAATTCAGTTTTTTGCAGTGTGCTTGCAACTCTGGCCTTCCTGCTTTCCGTATTTGCCGTCGGAACACCGCAGAGCACCATGCTGGCTTTACATCCTACCATACCCATGTAAATTGTGGAGACAGTGAAGAAATGTGAACTCTCGAGTTCGGAAATGTGGAGGAGCCAGTACAAGTGTCATTGTCAAAATTGGAGCAAAAATAGCTATGTAGGTACATGCGCATGTATGTACATACGGTATGTACTTACAAAGCTACGCAAGCAATGACCTAGAAGGTTCTGTGGGGCCATACCTGCGCATACAGATTCTCAACCGCCTGGATGAACATTCAATGTACTGGGTTAGTACATTGAAGAGCTAGGATATTGAATACTGTTACAGTAAAAGGGCTGGTACACTATGTACTATCCCACCAGGAGGGCTGATGCACCCTGTGCTGTCCCATTGGAAGGGCTGTCCCATGTATGTGCTATCCCATTGGAAGAGCTGGTACATTGCATGTTCATCCATCTTTTGGGACTGAGGGAGAATCTGGGCATGCTGGGAGACGCTGAAGGCGGATTCAGGTAGGCCCCACAGAACCTTCTGGGTGTACATAGTGTACATAGAGCTTTGCAATCACATACCGTATGTACATACGTATGTACTATAGGTACATATCTACAGAGCTATTTTTGCCTCTATCGTGACAATGCCACTTGTACTAACTTCTCCACATTTCCGAACTCTTGAGTTCGCATTTCTTCACTGCCTCCACAATTTACATGGGTGCGGGATGGCCAGGACGGTGCGCGGCAAGCGGGAAAGTCAGAGGTTGCTGGCAACCTACAGTAATCAGGAAAACTCATGGTCGCCAGCGGCCCTCTGGAAATCAGCAATCAGGAAAGCTCATGGTCGCCAGCGACCCTCCGGAGATCAGAAGTCAGGAAAATTAAGGGTCGCCAGCAACCCTCTAGGAACCAGAGATCAGAGGTCAGGAAAACTAAGGGTCGCCAGCGACCCCCCGGAAAGCAGAGATCAGGAAAACTCATGGTCGCCAGCGACCCTCTAGAAAGCAGAGACCAGGAAAACACATGGTTGCCAGCAACCTACAGAAATCAGCAATCAGCAATCAGGGGAGCTGAGGTTGCTAGCAACCTACAGAAAGCAGAGACCAGGGAAGCTCAGGTTGCTCTAGAGCGTGTAGGTTGCTAGCAACATGCTCCATTCACAGAAAACAGTTTTGCACAGCGCTAAAAGTTGCTAGCAACCCATGACGTAAACGGCTAACCAGAGCGCCTAGGCAGTCGCGTAAAGATTTGCAGGGCGCTAAGATGTTGGTTGCTGTATAACGAAGGGGGTGTACATATAAATCACACACTGTAGGTACAGGGGTTGGCTCCAGGACAGGAACAAAGATCTGTACCGACATTTACGGGCTGACTAGTGTACCCGCCCTGTCGCGTGTACCGTATCAAACGTATTGTTTCAAAAAAACTCGAGAGGTGTGCCACTCGGGAGGTGTAGCGCTCGGGAGGTGTAGTGCTCGGGAGGTGTAGCGCTCGGGAGGTGTAGTGCTTGGGAGGTGTACCTAGTGCTCCAGACGC